CAAATAACCACTCCCCCCCCCAACACACAGATGAGCTACCCAGAGAGCACCAGGGTGCTCTGTAGGATTGACTTGGCATGGTTTACCAAGGTTGTGAGGTCTTGTCATCAAATAAAAGATGTACAGGGGGAATTTTGAGAGTAAATCTGATTATTCTTATGGCTGGCTGTGCAGGAATGATACCATATTTTTGGGATTCACTAAGGACTAGCTATCATTTCCTTATACTCTTTAAGCCTTTAGGAATAATTAAAGGCTTGATTACAACAGCAGTAGTACGACTGAATGAAAATAGACCAAAATTGCCATCAAATAGATCCTACCTCATGGCAATACATGTGTTACAGTGAAGTTCTCCACAGCATTTTCTTGGGTATTACCTTACAAAACTAGGTGAGACTTTTATGATAATGCTAGGTGGGTTCAAACTGTCAACCTTTAGGTTAGTAGTCCAAGTCAAACCATTTGTGCCACTCATGGACTTAATAGTAGCTATGCGATTTCTAAGCTTTTTCATTCTTAAATTTTCTCCCAAGACCACAGGTCTTAGGGGGCTTCCTCTGCCTATGACCTTCTCCTTGGTAGACCTCTGTTCCCACTTGGACCACCTGTGATGCTATCAAAGCTTATTCCAGAGTCTTCCTTCTTCATTGTGCTACTGTTCTCTGTGGCCAGGAGAGACCAGTCAGTCCTTGGAGAAGGACATCATGCTTGGAAGGGTGGAGGGACAATGCAGGAGAGGAACACTTGGGATGAGAAGGATTGAAACAGTAACTAGGGCAGTAGATAGGTGTGTTAGAGTCAGTGAGACTGGCTCAGAACAGAACAGGCTTCAGAGCTGTTGTACATACAGTTGCTGTGAGATGCAGGGGACTCGATGGCACACAACAAAAATAATTGCTGTCCCTAAATCATTCCAAGAGATCTACAGAGGTGGTTTCCTTCTTCCCTTTTAGGAGAGTACTCTGCTTGAGAACATGGAATGACTTCCCAGTGATTTATACTAGAGGATGTTAGTGTTACTCTCAGCCACCACATCTCATCTCTCTCATGCAGGTTTCTCCCCACCAGCAGTCGACCACCGACTTCAAAGGTGCACCAGTCATTGCCTTTCAGCTCCATCTCCCACAGTGACCCCTTGGCTGTTGAGAGTTACTCTTCCTACACCCTACGGGTCCAAGCTGGGGAAAGGCTTTCTCTTTTGTTTGTTTTTGGTTTTTTTAGGAATGTTTTCACTGGTATTTTGTGGCCTGTCCCTTCACCTTCTACATTAGTCAGCTTAAGCAACTCTACTGAAAGAATAAAGCAAAACTTTTAGAAACCTCAAGAAATATGTCCTTCCTGCTCCTGTCACAATTCAACTTCCTACTCTGTGATTCTGAGATCTGGGCTGCTTCCTGCTTCTGGTTCTATTATCCTCTGAGGCCTTGAGATGTTGCACTGGACTGCATCTCCCCAGAAGAAGGGGAGAGGAGAAAGTAGACAAAGTGACGCTAGCATAGAATAGGATAGAGAAGGGAAGGCATAGGAAATTTTAAGAGCAAGATTTGGAAATGACATACGGTATCACTTCCACTCACATGTGATTCATGCTCTTCTCCTCTAACTAGGCATCTAGAGGAGGAAATGTGTTTGATTAGCATCCGGCCAATTTCTTCCTCACTGTTTCTTCCAGAAGACCTAGCAGGCCTCACACAAGCAGTACTTGCATTCTCATGTTCTACACCACACCATTGTTGCCAATGACTTTCTAATAAGGCGGTTTGGCGTTTCCACGAAGAGCTGAACAAGAAATTCCATATGACCCCACTATTCCACTGCTTAGAATATACCCTGAGAAAATGAGAACTCAGGCACAAATGGAGACTTGTACACCAATGTTCATAGCAGTGTTATTCACAATCACAAGAATATGAAACAGCCCAAATGTCCAACCACAACAGAATGGATTCAGAAATTATGTACATTCACACGATGGCATACTATGCATCACGTAGGAGCGATGATTTTTAAAATCACTACCTAACTTGGGAGGGGTTAGAGAGCATTATGCTAAGTAAACTAACTCTGCCCTCCAAGGATTAATACTGCATAAGACCATTATTGTAGAAATAGAATGATAACTAGTAAATCATGTATGAAGATAGAAAGGGGGAGGTGGGAGCAGAGGTGTGGGAATGGGAGGGAGTGGGGGATGGGTGGAAATCATAGGGTCGCACAATTTGATGGGTAGAGGGAGGGGGTGGACAAAGGAAATGGGAAAGATCTGGTGTGAAAAACAATGTATATGAACTTGGTAAGGAAACTAGTATAAAATAAAAATTTTGTTTTTCAAAAAATAAATTGTATTTATATCACTTATTCATTGCTTTTCCTAACTTTCTCAGCAGGTTTTCAAGGACGATAAATCACAGAGGGAATATTGCCCATCTTGCTCCCATGTCATAACTGGTAGATTTGAACTTCCTGTCTTGGCAGTATAATCCCTTACCTACTTGGCCACCAGAGTTCCTTTGTATGTGAGAGAGAAGGAGATAGAGAGATGGCTCACTGTACTATGGGGGAAGCTAGGTCATGGGAATTCAGCTTTCTTCTCCCTGAGCTCCTCTTCTGCAGTGATGAGAGAAGAGATACTTTGCTGCTTACAAATTAAATCTGGAAGAGACTTAGCAGTTTGCAAAAAACTGTACATAGGTATCTTGCAAACAAAGTCCCTTGAGAGGGGTGAAGTCATCGTGCATCATGGCATAGTGCCAGCACATAGCAGATACTCAATGAATGTAAACTGAACAGCAATTGTTACTTCTTAGCTGTCTGGTGTTAGGCTGGAAGTAAGATGTAGAAGGATGTGTGATGCAAATGTTACTCAGTCTGAAATTCTAATTTCTAAGTGTGGTACAGTACAAAGTATCCTTATAGACAAGAAGTTCTAGGTTCAAATCTTGACTTTGTAATTTACCAACTGTGTGATCTTGATAATTATTCCAACCTCTCTGGGCCTCAATTCCTTTCTTCTGTAAAAGTGAAGCATAATCCCCTCTCCTAGTATTGGATGAGATAACCAGTATATACATCCATGTGCAGTGGTGTCCTCTGTAAAGCATCTAGGCGCTGTCTTTGGAAGAACCTACAGGTAGCTCTTGTTTGCATCAAGGACTCTCTGCATCTCTCTGTCTGTGATCACATGTTCAGTCCCATCACAGGGTTGATTGGAAGTACCAGGAAGTTAATCTTGGCAGTGACCTGTGGTCAGTGAGGGTTAGGAGTTTGGATGGTAATTCTGAAGTATGTTTCCCATGACCTCCTGGAAGGCCCCAGTGGAGCTGAGTCCCTGTTTTATGCAGGCTTTACTTGTCATGAGCATAGCTGTCTTGTCTTCCTTCATTTCTTTCTCATAATCTGCACTATAGTCATGCTTCCTAGAAACAATTCCCAAGTATATAACCTACTCAGAAATTGTTGGCTTACATCTGCTTTGGAGGGACTGGGGATGGAGGTTGGCAAACTAACATCCAGGTTGTCAGTGATAGTTGCTTTTATTGCTCTATTGTTATATATGCCTATAAAAAGTAATTGTTACAGAGAGATAGAAAATACTGTATTTTAAAAAAGTAAAAGACTACCTATACCTGAAGTCATATAGAAAAAACATCAGGAAAGAAATGATAGGCAACATTTAACCTGGACTTTAAATGTGAGTTCTGCTGACTCAGTGGTGAGGAGCTGCATTGCCAACCCAAAAGCACCAGGTTCGAATCCACTAACTGCTCTGTGGGAGAAATATGGGCAATCTCCTCCTGTGTGATTTACTGCCTCTGAAAACATGCTGGAAGTTCAGCTGTGAGTTGGCCCTGACTCAATGGTACATGACCACAGCCACAATAACAACATTAAAGGATGTGAAAGCTTTGAACATGAGGCTATGAGCCAGGGAAGAATATCACAGGGAATTGAACAGAGCCTTAGTATCCACTGTTTAGATGGTCCCCACTCCCAAAAAGCCATGAGTCAGGTGGGTGGGCAAATCAGACAAGTCCACATATCTGTCTCATCTCTACCCCAAATTCTGTGCCCAGTGAGACCCTGACCCTTAGTCCCTGTGCACAGTACATTATCAGCCTTTACTGAGATCCATATAATACAGGATTGGTGATTTCCTTCTCCTGAAGAGTGTGTCTTTTTACTTGTTAGTTCTTATTTGTGGCCTTTATATCCCAATCAGCCTGCAGAGCGGTCCTCTAGCGCTTTCCTGGATCTTTAGTTTCCTGATGGCCTCTAAGAGCTCTCTGCTCCGTTGCTGCTCAGGTTCCTTCTAAGCTCCTCAGCCCACTCCTCTGACTAACCCTGAAAGAACTCATGGAGCTAAGACCTGTGGAGACTTTGAGCTGTTGGCTTGGGCTATGTTAAAGCTCCACTCATCTCATCTGACCATTTTTCAGCATTTGAGTAAGCAAAAGCAAGCTGTCATAGCCTGCCCAGAACACCAGTGGATGAATGTTTTCCCACCAAAAACAAAGAAGAGAAAGAAAATGGATGTTATGCATGTCTTGCTACATACTCTTAGCTGCTTCTTGGCTTGTTCAATGATAAGTAAAACCTTTTTAGTCAAGAACTTTTGTTAAAATAAAATCCAATGGAATTGGTAGCAAATTACACTAGTAAATCTTGAATTCCCCTAGTGGAAGCAAGAATGGTGGTAGCAAACTCTGCTACTCAGAGCTGCTCTCTGGGAAAAACAGTGGGAAATCATTTCATAAGTGGAGCAGGGAATTGGTAGGATGACGGTGATAGTAGATGGAGTCTTTGCCTTCTGTAGTCTCATATTACCTGGAACATAGTTTGAGGTCTTCCAGATGAATGCCGTTCTAATGGACCAGAGGTGATCTCTTAGTTTCTGTTTTGAAGGCGTAGACTGAGAAATAGTAACCCATGCCACAGGGTCCAAACTCTAGAAAGATGAGAAGTCTGTCAGTCTCATTAGCATTACCCTTCTCTTGCAGAGGTTCCCAAAACGGAACAGACTTTTGAAGAACGCTTGATACTCAAAGCTTTTTTGTTGAAGTTTGTCAACGCCTATTCTCCCATCTTCTATGTGGCCTTTTTCAAGGGGAGGTGAGTATCGCAGAATCATATGTAGAAGGCTAATCTGTCCCTGAAAATAGGTTCATTACTTTCAAGACAAGTAGGGTCACTACATCTCCATTGTCAGCTCACAGAATGGTGCCCTCCCCCAACACCATACTCAGCTGGCGCCTCACAGCAGTAAGGGTTTAGCACAAAACCATTTTGAATTAGCATCTGCATATTTTGATAATCAGGGAAACTGTGCAGGAATTTGACTCTGGGATCTGAGTAAGAAGTCTAAGAAGGATTTGTGCCTCTCTGTTTTGTAGATGAGACAGGAGGGAATTTCATGCCTGGTGTTTATATATTTAGGTGTGAAACAACTTTTGATACTGTTGTTGTTATTGTTAAATTCTGTCAAGTTGAGCAAGACTCACAGAGACCCTATGAACAAAAAACCTGAACCCTGTTCTATAACTATCATCATTTCTCTATGTTCATAGAGTTCTCAGAGACATGTGTTTAGGACGTGGATACCACTCCTGCTTGCAAGCCTGTCTCAATCTTAAAGCTCCACCAAACACTGTCCATGATGGATAACCATTATGGCATTTGACAAACCAATGGCACAGCTTTCAGCATCACAGCAGTCCCAAGTTACTTCAGTACAGCAAATTGACAGACCAATGCTGTACCACTTAGAAGAATGTTCTTCTCAAGCACAATTAACACCTGCCCACAGGGCCCTACCACCTTTTAAATAAAAGACCTGCCCACCTGGCCCTAGTTGACTCTAAACAATAGGCTTCCAGCCCACAGCTCATTGTTAGCTAAATCCAGCAAATCAAATCAGATCACACCTGATTGTAAACTAAAAACAAAACAAAACAAAAAATCCAAACAGTCCATACTCAACCCTCACCAAAACAAGAGAAACTATTTTCAGAATCCAACCTCTTCACACATGAGCCTCCAAACTGTTTAGAAACACACACACACACACACACACACACACACA